CAACAGCTTCTCCTGCTAGGGAAAGCCGCGAGGTCGCCAGAAGGGAGCCCCCTACGAGAGGCCACCTTCTGCCCCGGGTCTTTTCGGCCAGCTTCAGATAGGTTCGTGAAGAAAGTTGGCAGGCCGCGCGCGGACTGGACGACCCAAGTGCTACGTGTTGCCTGCGTAGCGGCAGGCGGCATTGCCAATTTGACCCCACTCCTAAGTAGCGAAGCTTCCTGGCGGCAATTTGTCCGCACAGCGAAGCTGTCAGCATAGCGCAGCGCTGTGCACCTGTATGGTATAATTATGCATTTGTGTATTTAGTTGTAATTTTTCCCATCCAGTGTCCTACGCACCTCCGGGTGTATGACTTCTCTGCTCTGGTAATTTTCTGATGATGGTGCTGATGTCCATGATGATGATGGTGATGATTCTGATGATGCTGCTGATGATGATGGTGATGATGATGATGATGATGATGATAGTGACGATGATGCTGATGATGAGGATGCTGATGATGCTGATGATGACGATGATGGTGATGATAATGATGACGATGCTGTTGATGATGATGCTGATGATGATGCTGATGATGATGATGCTGATGATGATGCTAGCTGATGCTGATGCGGATGATGATGATGATGCTGATGCTGAGGCTGATGCTGATGCTGATGCTGATGCTGATGCTGATGCTGATGATGATGATGATGATGAGGATGAGGATGATGATGATGATGATGATGATGATGATGATGATGATGATGATGATGATGATGATGATGATGATGATGATGATGATGATGATGATCAGGAATAGGCGCAGGAGGAGGCGGATGAGGAGGAGAAGGAGGAGGAGGAGGAGCAGGGGGGGAAGAGGACCAGGATGAGGAGCAGGAAGAGGAGGCGGATTAGGAGGATGAAACGGAGGAACCAGGAGGCGGATGAGGAGGATTGATGGACGGTTGGATGGACGGCGTGGGTGAGGAGGAGGAGGAATATGAGGAGGAGACACGATGAGCAGGAGGTTGAGGAATAGGGAGGGGGATGAAGAGGACGAACAAAGCGGAGTAGACAGGATGGATGGGAGTATGGTGTGGAGGAGGGGAATGCGGGCGGCTGGGGGAGGAGGGAGACAATATGAGGCATCTTATCAGATGTAGTGCCAGACAGTTGATGATGCTGTGGATGTTGTTGATGGTGGTTATGACGACGACCATGGTCGGAGGTGAGGGGGTGAGATCGAAGTGGAACGGCGAGCCCCCCACCGGGAAATCGGTTTCGGTTTCGTGTTCGTGCGTGCCGTGCGTGCGAGGCGAAGCTGCGTGGGCGGGCGAGAAAAAGTCTCCTGTGGCTGAGGCGCGGCCGGACCAAATGTTCCCTTCCGGGCGGCCGGGGCCCCGCGGTGTCCCGCCGGTGTCCCGCTGGTGTCCCGTGTGGCTGAGGCGCGGCCGGACCAAATGTTCCCTTCCGGGCGGCCGGGGCCCCGCGGTGTCCCGCCGGTGTCCCGCGGTGTCCCGCGGTGTCCCGCGGTGTCCCGCGGTGTCCCGCCGGGTGTCCCGCGGTGTCCCGCGAGGATGATGATGATGATGATGATGATGATGATGATGATGATGATGATGATGATGATGATGATGATGATGATGATGATGATGATGATGATGATGATGATGATGATGATGATGATGATGACGGTGTCCCGATGAAGATGATGATGATGTTGATGATGGTGTCGATGATGATGATAGTGTCCCGATGATGATGATGATGATGCTCATGATGATTTATGTTGATGATGATGACGATGATGGTGTCCCGATGATGATGATGAGGATGATGATGATGATGATGATTCCGATGATGTTGGTGATGATAATGTTGATGGAAATGGTGTCCCGGCGATAATGATGGTGATGATGATGATGTTGATGATGATTATGGTGTCCCGATGATGATGCTGATGATGATGATGATGATGGTGATGATGATGGTGATGCTGATGGTGACCCGATGATGATAATAATGATAATGACGATGTTGATGATGATGTTGCTCATGATGATGATGGTGCCCCAATGATGATGATGCTGTTGATGATGATGATGTCGATTATGATGATGCGATGATCATGATGATGATGGTGTCCCGGGGATGATGACGATGTTGATGATAATGTTGATGATGAGAACGATGGTGATCATGATGGTGTCCCGATTAAAATGATGATTCTGATGATGCTGCTGATGATGACGATCACTGTGTCCTGATGATGATGATGATGATGATGATGATGATGTTGATGATGAGATGATGATGGTGATGATGATGATGATGTTGTCCCGATGATGATGCTGACCTTGATGATAATGTTTATGATGATGATGATGACGGTGCCCTTATGATGATGACGATGTTGGTGATGATGTTGATGTCGATGATGTTGATGATGATGATGATGATGATGATGATGATGATGATGATGACGTTGATTGTGAGAGCGATTGTGGTATCGATAGTGAGATCGATATTGAGACCGAATGTGAGATCGATTGTGTGATCGATTGTGAGATCGATTGTGAGATCAATTGTGAGATCGATCGAATGAGATAAATCAAGTGAGATCGATTGTGAGATCGATCGAGTGAGATCGATCGAGCGAGACCGATAGTGAGATCGATACTGAGATCGATAGTGAGACCGATCGAGTGAGACGTTGGTCCCCCCCCCGAACCTCCTTATCACCCGAAGGGTGGTCGTATAGGTAAGTATGGTGATGATGCTTGTGATGGTGATGGCGATGGCGGTTGTGGTGATGCTGTTGGTGTCAGGTATGATGATGATGAAGATGCTGGTGATGGTGACATTGATGCTGTTGATGATGGGGATGCTGGAGGCGTTGATGACGACGATGATGATACGGATGATGATGGTGATGATGATTTTGATGATGATGATGATTATGATACTGATGATGATGATGGTAATTCTGATATTGATGATGATGATGATGATGATGATGATGCTGTTGCTGATGATGATGCTGATGCTGATGATACTGATGATGATGCTGGTGATGATGATGATGACGATGATGATGATGATGATGATGATGATGATGATGATGCGGTTGATGATGATGATGATGATGATGATGATGATGATGAAGAAGAAGAAGATGTCTATGATGACGACGACGACGACGGTGATGATGCTGCTGATAATGATGCTGACGAGGATGACGATGATGAGGATGATAATGATGATGCGCAGGAGAGTGAGGGTGGTGGTGGTGCTTGATGATGGTTGTGATCGCTATGGCTGTGCTGGTGACGGTGATGGTGATGATGGTGCTGATGATGAGAAGACTGATGATGATGCTGATGATGATGAGGATTAGTATGAGGACGCAGATGATGGTGAGGATGATGCTGATGAGGATGATGCTCATGACTATGATGTTGATGCTGATGATGCTGACGATGGCGAGGACGGTGATGGTGCTGAAAATGAGGATGACGTTGCTGATGCTGAGGGTGATGCTGATGATGGTGATGGTGATGATGATGATGATGATGATGATGATGATGATGATGATGGTTATCCTTGTTGTTATTATTACGCCTGCGAGGATGATGATGTTGACAGAGATCATGATGATGGTGGTTGTTACGATGATAATGACGTCTATGATTTGTGTGATGATGGGGATGATGATGCTGACGATGATGATGGTGGTGGCTGTGGCGGTGGTGTTGGTGGTGGTGGCGATGCCGATGATGATGATGATTCTGATGATGTTGATGATGAGGATGATGATGCTGCCAAAGGTCATGATGGTGGTAGTTGTTACGATGATTATGACGTCTATGATGGGTGTGATGATGAGGATGATGACGATGCTGACGATGATGATGGTGGTGGTTGTGGCGGTGGTGTCGGTGGTGGTGGCGATGCCGATGATGATGATGATGATGATGATGATGATGATGATGATGATGATGCAGATGATGAGGATGATCTTGATGAGAATGATGATCATGACTATGATGTCGATACTGATGATGCTGATGATGGCGAGGATGATGATGGTGCTGATAATGAGGATGACGCTGCTGATGCTGATGATGCTGATGATGGTGATGATGATTGTGATGATGATAATGGTTATCCTTATTGTTGTTATTACGCTGGCAAGGATGATGATGCTGACAGAGATCATGATGGTGGTGGTTGTTACGACGAGAAAGACGTCTATGATTGGTGTGATGATGAGGATGATGATGATACTGACGATGATGATGGTGGTGGTTGTGGCGGTGGTGTTGGTGGTGGTGGCGATGCCGATGATGATGCTGATGATGTTGTTGATGATGGTGATGATGATTATGAGGCCGCTGATGCTGATGCCGATGCTGCTGATGATGATGATGATGATGATGATGAGGTTGATGCCGATGCTGATGTCTATGATGATGCTGATGATGCTGCTGCTGATGATGATGAGGACTGTGATGATGATGCTGATGCTACTACTGATGATGCTGCTGATGATGATGACGATGATGATGCTGATGATGATGCTGATGATGATGCTGATGATGATGCTGATGCTGATGATGATGCTGATGATGATTATGATGATGATGGTGATGATGATGGTGATGATGGTGATGATCTTGAAGATGATGATGATGATGATGATGATGATGATGATGATGATGATGATGATGATGATGATGATGATGATGATGATGATGATGATGATGATGATGATGATGATGATGATGATGATGATGATGATGATGATGATGATGATGATGATGATGATGATGATGATGATGATGCTGATGATGATGATGATGATGATGATGATGATGATGATGATGATGATGATGATGATGATGATGATGATGATGATGATGATGATGATGATGAATGAGAGGAGGAGGAAGAGGACCATAATGAGGTTGATATGGCACCCATTCTGTCTCCATGGCCGCTTTGGCGAGCGCGGCCAGGAGAAGCTGGTGCTGCTGCAGGGGGCGATGAACGAGTACGACGCGCAGGCGCGTTGGGGTCGTCGTCCTCCTCCTATTCTTCCTCCTTCCTCCCTCCATTCGCTCCTCGTGCGCGCTCGCGTTCAGGATAAGGAGGACAGATGTGGAGGACGTAGAGGACGTGTGAGGAGGGGGAGAGGGACGCGGACTAGGAAGAGGAGGGTGAGGATGAGGAAGAGGAGCAGGAATGCGAGCACTATATGTGGTGCAATATATGTTGTGAAATCTGTGGCGTGCATTATATGTTTGTTTATTTTTTAATATACATATATACACATATACGTATACATTCGAAGGTGAATCGCACGCGCGGTCCCGTGCGAAGCGCGGAGTGGTTGAAGGACTTCATCCCGTTCGCAGGCGATATTCTCAAACTCGCCGTGTTGCTGGTGCTTGTGCTGGATCGCAGCTTGACCCCGATCCCGTATTCTCACGGGGTATCGGGCCGTGGTACGAACGCCGGTCAAGTGGCAAGCCAAACCGCCCTGGTCGTGCAGAAGTCCATCGAGGGCTACGTGCGCTATTATCTCGGGACTGGTGCTGTCAACCGCGATGAGACCCTGGGCTACGCGATGGTGGACTTGGCGCAGGGCCTGATCGGGTGGGACCCCACGTATGCGAAGGAGTGCACCGCTGCAGGGTGGGTTGCGACTCCGCCAGGCGGCACGGCAGGACCCGTGGCTCCGCTCACGGCTGCCGTGCACGGCGTCCCCTCGGGCTGGTACATGCCGGACTTCCAGCCAATCGACGATGCCGTGGCAGGCATTCTGCAGGCGCTCATCAACGAGCGTGCAAGCCAACGCTTGGCATTGGTGGCGCTGTGGTGTGTGGGGGCGCAGCTTGTTGCAGACGGGCATCATTACGATCCGGCGAATGAGAAAGTGGCAGCATTTTGGGGCAAATTCGAAGAGTCGTGGAGGGACATCGGCACGGCTGCGGGCATTAGCCAGTCGGAGCTGAAGACGCTCGTTCTGCACAGGGCGCTCCACAGTATCCCTGCAGAGCGAATCAAGTCGTTTCTGACCTGCGACACCGCTGCGGAGGTGTATGAAGCCATGGGCTTTCCGATCTTGCACATCAGGGTCCCGCTCAAAGACAGCGCGGGGTCAGGCATGGGCGCGCTCGGCGCCATTCGGGTTGAATTTCGGAACGCTGTGTCGCAGGTAGGCGGACGTGACGTGGACGCGCGGGTGACGGCGGTGTTTGAATGGGTGCGCGGGAAGACTTACGCGGAGTTGGCGGAGCTTTCTGCGGACTGTGCTCGCCTGTCCGCGACCGTGGGTCCCACGATTGCTTACCGCGCGGGGTGGCTGAAGGGACGAGCCTCCGCCGGGGGCGTAAAATTCGGCTGCCTGCGGGCCCGGACTGCCTCGCGGCCCCAGAAGGATTTTGCCGGCGAGTTCGTGCTGGGCTTCGCGCAAGGCGAGTCTTCGTGGAACGCCTGCAAGGCTGCGGGCGTCGAGGCGGTGACGCCAGCCGCTCTTCCCGACGTCGCCTCCGTCGGCCTGACCTGCGCCGTGGCCGCGGAGATCAATGCGTTCCACCGGCAGGTCGGCGGCGCGGCCCCGCGCATCCCGCTCAACCTCGACTCGAACAAGGCGCCCGTGACAATGGCCAAGGTGGATCGGGCGAAGGCCGAGCATGCTGGCAAAGTGGACAACTGGCGCGTTCAGGCCCAGATGGCTCAGGCCATGGGGAACGCGGCGCCCGATTTCCCGGACGCGCTGGACCTGTCGGACCTCTTCTGATCAGCAGCGCTGGCTCCAACCGTGTTCTTGCCGTGAGGCGCCGAGGAATTCACGTCTTCTCATCGGGGCAACGTGCTCTCCACGTATACGTATACATGTGTGCAGATTCATATACTCAGGTAGGGTGAAATCAATGTGGTGCAATCTAGGTGGTGCGCAATTGATGCGGTGCACTCGGCGTGGTGCAATGCACGCGAGCGGTCTATGTTGTGCAATTAATTTTGACAAGCGGGTCGACGCATCCCATGCTCTTTCAAACACCCCACCCACCCACTCGCAGCTTTGTTTTCAAAACACATGCGGTGGCGATTGCGATGCATTCTTGGCGTTGGTTGGTGCACCCCTGCGGCCTCGCCAACCCTGGCGCGCGCAGCGGCCAGCTAGTTTGGCGCGACCGGCGCGGCCGCGGTAGCGCTGACCGCTGGGCACATCCCAGTGGGCACTCCAATGCGAGTCGACGACTTGGGCGGGCGCGGTATCTTGGCAACGTCGACAACGGTAGACACAATGATGATAGTAACGGTGCTGGTGGCGATGTTGACAACGACGAAGGCGCGGTCAGTGCGGGCGCCGATGCTGATCACGTCGACGACGATGACGGCGCTTCCGCGTCGGCGATGAAGGTTTTGGAAAGAGTTCGACTTGCGCGCGCGGCCGATGCGCGCGAGTGGCCCGCGCGGTTATCCTCGACGCGGATCGCGCCCCCCAGCGCGCGCGCATGGGCGCGCGAATGATGTCGGCATGCCGCGCCAGAGGCCCGTTTGGCAGAATCAAATGAACGTGTTGAAGCGCCTATGGTTGTTTCAAGAACGCGCAAGAGCGCGAGCGCGCGTTTTCTTCTGTCAACTGATTTTGCGAGACCATGTGTTTTTGCAGATCTCTTGGACACTCGAGTTTGACATCGTTGCGGAACCGAAGGATTTTTACGGGTTTCAGCATGCGCGCGCGACGACGCGCGCGCGTGCACTTCGCTTTTTTTTTTTTTTTTTTTTTTTTTTTTTTTTTTTTTTTTTTTTTTTTTTTTTTTTATATATATATATATATATATATATATACAAGAGATTATCGCGACGGCACGCGCGCAAGGGCGTTCGACCGATTTCGACATGCGCGCGCGCGAAGCCCGTTTGGTAGCATTTCCTGAACATGTTGAAAAGCCTATGGTTTCCTGCTAATTCGCAGGAGCGCGCGCGCAAGCTGTTTTTGAAGCTCGTGCTGCGAAGCCATCTATATATATGTATATATATACACATATATATATATACATATATATAGGACACCCAGTTCTAACATATCTTTACGAAACCGAAGGTTTTTGAAGGATTTCGGCATGCGCGCGCGAGGACGCGCACGTGTGCACTTTGCTTTTTTTCGTTGTAAAGGGTGTTTGAACGCGTATGTTTTTGGATAAACGAATGCGCGCGCATCGTATCTCTTGCAGAGAAAGGCGGGAGGGGGCGATGCCGGCCTGGCTGGGATGGTACGAATTCATGTCTAGGATGGGCGATGGGGCAGAATCCCGGGCAAATTGCAATGCGAGAAGTGGTGCCGATAATCCGGGGGGGAGGGGTGGAGTTTATAATTTTTGGTAGTAGGGGGAATCTATGTGGAGCAATGGATTTTAATAAACGAGTTGGCACATCCCATGCCCTTGCATGCGCCCCATCCACCCACCCGCAGCTTGGTTTGCAAAACCCACGCGGTGGCGATTGCGATGCCTGCTCAGGGTTGGCTGGTGCACCCCCGCGGCCTCGCCGACCCTGGCGCGCGCGGCGGCCGGCTAGTTTGGCGCGACCAGCGCGGCCGCGGTGGCGCTGACCGCTGGGCGCATCCCAGCGGGCACTCCAATGCGAGTCGGCGACTTGGGCGGGCGCGGTATCCTGGCGACGTCGACGACGGTGGACGCGGCGATGATAGTGCCGGTGCCGGTGGCGACAACGACGATGGCGCGGCCACTGCGGGTGCCGATGTTGACCGCTCCGACGGCGGTGGTGGCGTCCTCGCGCCGGCGATGAAGGTTGCGGAAAGAGTTCGACATGGGCGCGCGGCCGACGCGCGAGCGTGGCCCGCGCTGCAGTCTTCGACGCGGATCGCGCGCCCCAGCGCGCGCGCAAGGGCGCGCGGATGATGTCGGCGCGCGGCGCGCGAAGCCAGTTTGGTCACATGTTCTGACCCGTTGAGAGGCCGACGGTACTCTTTGGAAATCGCACGAGCGCGAGCGCGCGCTTCCGTGAAAACTGATGTTGCGCAACCTGGTGTTTTTGAGTGGTTTTTGGGCATGCGGTTTTGGAAATCGTTGCGGAGCCGGAAGTTATCGATTTCGGCGCGCGCGCGACGACGCGCGCGCGTGCGTTTCGCCACATTTTTTTGCATGGGTCTCTCACGACAGCGCGCGCGCAGGGGCAGTCGCGCGATTTCGACGCGCGCGCGAATCCAATTTGGTAGCATGTTTGAACATCTTGAACAAATTATGGTTTTCAAGAACTTGCGAGGGCGCGCGCGCGAGCTTTTGTTCGAAATCCGCGTTGCGAGACCTTGTGTTTTTATTTGTTTCGTGGGCGATCGATTTTTGAAATCCCCGCGGGGGATTTCGGCGCGCGCGCGACGGCGCGCGCGCAGGCATTTCGTCTTTGAATTCTTTGCGCCGGAGTCTTGAGAACTTGTGATTTTTGACGAGCGAGCGCGCGCGCACAGCATTTTTTGCGAGGGGGTGGCCGGGGGGGGTCGATGCCGGGCTGGGATGGCATGCGCTCATATTTCGGATAGGCGATGGTGCATAATCATATTGAAACTGCAATGCGAGAAGGAGTGCCGATAATCCCGGTCGTGCGATTCGCAATCGGAGTAGTAATAGTAGTAGTAGTAGTAGTAGTAGTAGTAGTAGTAGTAGTAGTAGTAGTAGTAGTAGTAGTAGTAGTAGTAGTAGTCGTCGTAATAGTAGCAGTAGCAGGGCTATTCGCAACGGGTCGTCGTAGTAGTAGTGGTAGTAGTAGTAGTAGTAGTAGTTGTAGTAGTAGTAGTAGTAGTAGTAGTAGTAGTAGTAGTAGTAGTAGTAGTCGTAGTAGTAGTAGTAGTGGTGGTAGTAGTCGTAGGAGTAGCAATCGTAGTGGTAGTAGTAGCAGTAGTAGTAGTAGTAGTAGTCGTCGTCGTCGTCGTCGTCGTCGTCGTCGTCGTCGTCGTCGTCGTCGTCGTCGTCGTCGTCGTCGTCGTCGTCGCTAGTAGTAGTAGTAGTAGTAGTGCGTAG